TTTTGGGTGTACTTGCTATATTCTGAATACTAAAGATAATCTGAACAAGTTTGATTCTAAGGCACAAAAGTGTTTTCTGCTTGGATATTCTGAACGCTTAAAAAGATATAGAGTATGCAACACATAAACTCTGATTGTTGAAGAATCAATCAAAGTCAGATTTGATGATAAGCTTGGCCAGCAAAAGCCAAAGCAGAATGAAAATCCTGCAGGTACAAAAGATCATCTTATAAATTATGAAGAGTCAGAAGCAAAAGACAACTCAAAATATCCTTCTATTGCAAATGCTCTGGACAATCTAAGAATTTATGAGCAAACCTCACATAAAATATTCCCCATAATCACATCAGCACATCCAAAAAATGTGATTATTGGAAAGAAAGAAGATCCCATCAGAATAAGATCCTTCCTCAGAAACAATGAAGAATCATTGTTTGGATTGGTCTCTCTGATTGAGCCAACCTCAATAGAGGAAGATCTGCAAGACAATGATTGGATCCTAGCTATGTAAGAAGAACTAAATCAAGTTTCCAGAAATGATGTGTGGGATCTAGTTCCAAAACCTAAAGGATTCAATATCATAGGAACAAAATGGGTATTCAGAAACAAGTTAAATGAGCAAGGAGAGGTTGTCAGAAATAAGGCACGACTGGTTGCACAAGGTTATAGTTAACAAGAAGGAATTGATTATAATGAAACTTTTTCCCCAGTCGCCAAGTTAGAATCAATTAGATTATTAATTTCTTTTGTTGTTCAACATAACATCTCATTATATCAAATGGACGTTAAAAGTGCATTTTAAATGGTTACATAGAAGAAGAAGTTTATGTCCATCAACCTCCGGGTTTTGATGACTCAAAATATCCAGAACATGTTTTTAAACTGAAAAAGTCTCTGTATGGTCTAAAACAAGCTCCCAGAGCTTGGTATGAACATCTAAGTAACTTTCTTTTAGAAAAGAATTTTACCAGAGGGAAAGTGGACACTACCTTATTCAGAAAAACACTTAAAAATGATATTTTAATTTTTCAAATATATGTAGATGATATTATTTTTGGAACTTCTAATGTCTCTCTTGGAAGAGAATTTGTTGAGTCTATGCAGGCTGAATTTGAGATGAGCATGATGGGAGAACTAAAATTCTTTCTGGGAATTCAAATAAATCAGACTCCAAAAGGTACTTACATACATTAAACAAAGTATGTTAAATAACTCCTGAAGAAATTCCAGTTATCATAAAGTAAAGAAGCAAAGACACCAATGCATCCTACATGCATTTTGGGAAAATATGAGATAAGTAAGAAAGTAGATCAGAAACTCTACAGAGGTATGATTGGATCTCTTCTCTATCTGACTGTATCTAAACCAAATATATTATTCAATATATGTTTATGTGCAAGATTCCAATCAGATCCTAGAGAATCTCACTTAACTGATGTTAAGCGAATTCTGAGGTATCTGAAAGGTACTACTAACCTTGGACTGTGTTACAGGAGATCCAATGAGTTTAAACTAGTAGGTTATTGTGATGCTGACTTTGCTGAAGATAGAATAGAACGAAAAATCACTTCTGGAAGCTGTCAGTTTCTGGGTGATAACCTTATCTCATGGTACAACAAGAAGCAAGCCATTATTACACTATCAACAATTGAAGCAGAATATATATCTGTTGCTTGATGTAGCACTCAGATGATCTGGATGAAGAGCCAGCTGGAATATTATCATCTCTATGAAAGTAAGATTTCTATCTTCTGTGATAATACATTTGCTATTTGTCTTTCAAAAAAATACTATCTTACATTCTAAGGCAAAACATATAGAAATTAAACATCATTTCATAAGGGACTATATTCATAAAGGAATTTTAAGTTTAAACTTCGTAGACACAGACTATCAATGGGATGATATTTTTACTAAACCTCTTTCTGAAGATAAATTTAAATTCATTCTGAAAAACATCAGTATGGAATTTTGTCCTGAATGAAATTTCTTTTCTATATATGTTTTCAAAATGTTCTGAAATGAATGTTCTGATTAACAACTCTTCAGAAGTTAGAAGAGGAGTTACTTCAGAAACCATCTATAATATTCTGAAATGTGTCTAACGTTTCATTACAAAAATGGTTCAGAAGTTTATTACATTAAAACAGTCGTCACACGCTATCCTCGGAAGTTGAATGAGTGTTTCAACTCTGAAAGGTCATGCATGCATGCACTGCTATTGAGACGCGTTCCTAGGTAACTGTTCAGATTTGATCAAATCTCACGCATCCCCTCAATGTCAAATCTCATTAATTTCTTGTAATGATTAATCTTTTTTTATTCAATTGTTCTAAATTCTTTAACTGTTTTATTCCTTTAAAATTCTTTTTCATAAGCTATAAATACTTTGCAAAATTCTTTTTTTACTTTTTACTCTCTCTCTCTCTCTCTCTCTCTCTCTCTCTCTCTCTCTCTCTCTCTCTCTCTCTCTCTCTCTCTCTCAAATTTCAATCGCTTCTGTGTATTTGCAAACTCTCTCTCTTTCTTTTTCAAAATCCTAAACCTAAGCGTTCTAAATGGCTTCATCTTCATCCCCTTCTGAAAGCATTCCTTTATTTTTTTCCCATTTTTTTTGTACTTCTGTCCTTTGACATCTTCTATATAAAAATCTTTTGAATCTCTTTAATTTTTTTTGTACTTCTGTCCTTTGACATCTTCTATATAAAAATATTTTGAATCTCTTTAATTTTTTTTTTTGCTTTTTGATTGTGACAAAAAGGGGGAGAAAATGTGATTTTGATCTGATCCATGATAGCAGTTATGGGACTAAATCTCAAACATTCCTAACAAAATACAAAGTTTTTTCCTGTTTAAGAGATATGCAGGTACCTCAAGACTCTGAACGACTAAGCTCTAAACATCATCTGGTAAAGATCTGCTAAAGAAACTCTGAAGAAAAGATCAGGAGCTCCTAAAGAAACTCTGAAAGAAAAATGTCCCAAAGCTCTGAAGAACAATCTCAGGAAGTTTCTCTTATGCATTTAAGTTCTTTTATTATTTATTTCAGAAGAATAAATATTTATCTCAGGGGGAGATTCTCACTCTTGTACAATTAAAAAAAATCAAAATCTGAATTATTTTGTCATCATAAAAAAGGGGGAGATTGTTAGAACAAAGTTTGGTTCTAATCATATCTTTGAGTTTTGATGATAACAATGAAATAAATTTTGTATAATATATTGTATACTCTGATGTGCATGTTTTCTAATTCAGAAGATGTTCTGACTCAAGCATTCTCAAAAGTGAAACATCATTCTACGCTGAGCAGAAAAAGGATAAAGAAGTTCTTAAGAAAGTTTATGTAAACGCAAGTCTGAAGCAAACTCTGAAGGAAGTACTCCAAGGAAAACTCCATTAAAAAGTAATCTTAAGCAACCTCTGATAAAGCTAGCTGAAGCAAAGATTTGAAAGAAGCACGCTGAAAGCAATATCTGATAATGAAACCTGAAGCAAACTCTGATGAACATAAAATGAAGAAAACTCTGATAGAATGAGTGATATAGCAAACTCTGATAGAAGAAAAGTTAAAGCAAACTCTGATGTTGCAACGCTGCAAGCAAACTCTTAAACTTCCAAAGACAAGCTCTGACAGTACTGTTGATCATTTAATGCTAAGACGGCTAACGCACTCAAGTGGTACTATGCACGAGAGCACTGGAAACATAAAGGTCAAGCTAACACGCATCATTAATGCATACTCTCTCTTCAAGGCAGTAACGGTCAATATTTGAAGCTATATATAGAAGACCATTTGTTTCAAAGCAAGGTTACTGATTCACGCAAAATATACTGAAGATCACTATTTTCATTCTTGTAAACTCTTTGTATATAATGGGTAATTCTCAAGTACTGGGCTAAAATCTTAGTGATAAATCACAGTTTGTGATATAGCTTATTAGAAGCATTCTGATTCATTAATGTTAAGAGATAATCTTTGTAATTGTTCCTTGAGAGACCAGTTGGGTCAGGTTTCTCAAGAGGGCTAGGACTATTTAAGTCTTAGAGGTGTTAGTCACTTGCAGTTGGCTTGTGCATTGTATTGTTAGTCACTTGCAGTTGGCTTGTGCATTATATTGTTAGTCACAATAGTTTGGTTGTGCATTTGTAATCAGTTTTGATTATAGTGGATTAAGTCCTCGTTGAGAGAGGCGAAATCACTTTGGCGGGTGGACTGGAGTAGTTTGAGTTTCAAATGAACCAGGATAAAATTACATGTGTCCTTCCATTATTATTGCGCGAGAAAGATAACCTGCCTACATCAAACCATGGTTCAATTGAAGATAATTGAAGTTCTGAAGTACGAGTAGGTGACCCTTCAAACCAAAACACAACAAATAAAATAATATAAGAATTAATCAGACGACATGATAAATTGATCAACTCAAAACATTTTATTCATTTTAAAGGAGTTTAGTTTTACTCATGATACGACAATATTCTATTTGCATGACCATGAACTTATGATCTACAGTCTAAATTTTTTTGTTTGAGTAAGTTCAAGTTGCATAAAAATCAAATGTCCTTATAAAAGAGTTTAAGCATAGAACCTTTAAAGATTTTGGAAGAGCCAAAGGTGATTGTTGCAAGAGAACTGTATCAGGGTTCAGTTTTGAATACAAAGCATAACAGCATGAAGCTAGATCAGCCCATATGAGGTTGCTACTCTATTCTCCTGTTTGATGTTTACCATTTACACTCTTGGCAGTAGACACATAATCAAGCTCATTAGTTGCATGCAATGCCACGTCTATGCTTACTTCTGTTTACTCTTTTATTTCAATTCTATTCTTCTCTAAAATGAGTTTTTACTTGGCACAAGACATAATTTTCAATGAGCTGTATTTCCAAATTAGCACCTCCTAATCTAAAGATACTAAGATCATAAATGAGACTGCTCGAACTGACCTCAATAAACACCTTTTGTTTGTCCACATAAATTAAGGCGGAATCGGCGGATGTCACAATAGAAAATGTGTGAGCGACGGAACAGTACGCCACATCATTTCCACGTACAACCAAGCAACCTGTATTTAGTGACATCGAATAAAATGAAGACAAAAATCTTGTAAGGAAGTCACGTGTCAAAGCCAGATCAATGTGCTGAAATTTAAGCTAAAGAAACTTCTAGGTCTCTATGATATTAAACAAAAATAAAAGAAGTTAAATAGTAAATTCCTTTCAAAGATGCATCAAACTTTTTCACTGCTGAAATAAATGTTAGATGGATTGCTTATATCAGTAACTGAAATCTGTAGAAATTGAACTAACCGAAGAAAAAAATAAGAAAAACTCAAATCCATAAGATTTCAGCTCAACAACAGCAACAACAACAGATCCGTAAGATTTCAGAATAATCAGATTCAAATGTACAATATATGAAACGTAAATGAACTCTGATCGGTATTTAATCACCAGAAGAAGTGAACTCCTACTTTCACTTTTGGAATAATAAATATTAAATTTCAGAACCTATGCTTAAATTGCTACTTAAGCAACATAAACAACAAAATATAAGCAACAAAATAACAAACTATAAGCAAGAAAAAGGGATGATAACCTGAGTTGGACTTGGTGCAGGAGAAAGGGGTAGGTTTGAATCGGTGCTGGACAAGTAGATATCAGATGCTTCAAAGTAACTAAAAAATTATACACACAAGACGCAGTTAAGACTCAATTTGGAAGAAAAAAACAAATACCACCCACTACCAACACAATATCAAAAACCCCCAATCTAGAGTTCAATTGTTTAACCTGATATGAAATCAATTATTAATTAATAATAAGAAGAAACACCCCAATCTAAACCTTTTGGACAGATCAACTTGCTTTGCTCTTGGATTTCAAATATTATATAATTTAAAACATGAACATCACAATTACAATCAGGAAATTTGTCTACTTTTCAAAGATGGATCTAGCTCATTGAAGTGTAGAAGCGATTCATCTAAAGTTGGCTGCATAAGAAAAATTGACAGTTTTTCCCAATAAGAATTTTAATTTAAACAATAGCATTGTTTCTAATAACAAAAAAAATAAAGGGTTTATGTAAATCAATAGATACCCCTGTCAGCGGACGCTTGAGCGAGTCAGATTCAAGGTCAGAATCATCAGTGGAGACATAAGTGAAATTTTGTTGGTGTAAGAATGGAAGAGCGGAGGTTTCAATGAAGATTGAAGATGCAGTGATGTGTGAGGGAGAACGAAGAAGATGAGAGAGCGAGAGTGAGGATTGTGGAGATGGTGAAGATACGGTTTTGGAAGATGGAAGATTAACAGCTTTTGAGAAATCGTTCACTGAATTGAAAGTGGAGAGAGAAAAGAATAAAAAGTTTTTGGAATAAAGGATGATGTGCCATGAAGAAGCCACGTGTTGTGTTTTTGAAACAAAAGGACAAAATAAGTTTTTTTGATAGAATGAATTTTCTTATATTATAGATTTTCATCGGGTATTTTTCCACCGATTAAAATGGATAAGCAGTTCCCTTTTCTATAATACTTAAATACCTTAGTCATTATTTATTTATCTCAAAATAATATTTAGTAAAGGTACGTAAGAGAGCTATGAATGTCATGTGCTATTACGACAGATTACTAGATTAATTAGGTTGCATGAGAAGGTCAAAATTAGCCACACTTTCCGAAAAATAAATAGGTGTGTAAATGTTTTAGCTAATGAGGACTGTAAGTTACAAGAAAGTTAGACGAGTTATTCTATTGCTCATACTTTTATTAATATTCTCTTAAATGATAATTATTTAAGTGCCTTTTTTCTTAAGTTGATCTAAAAATAGTCTTCTCTTTTTCGGGCTTCGGCCCTCTTACCAAAAAAGAATATCAAAAAATTCACTAAAAAATACAGAGAAATTCAAAAACCTGATATTAGATTTAAAAAATCTTGTAGTTTATATTTGATAAGCCTATAATAAAACAAAATTAATATTACTGAATTTCCCATATTCTTTGTGATTTTGAAATATTCAATAGTTTATATCAGATAGGACAAAAAAACGAAGATAATATAATTATTTTATTTTTTTAAATTTGATAAAAGCTCATAAAACCTTGAAAAATTCAGTAATATATTAAAAAAATCTAGTAAAAACTCATTAATTTTTTAAAATTTTGACAAAATCTCATAAATTTTTTGAAAAATCCAATACAAATTCATATTTTTTGAAAAATTCAATACAAACTAATAAGTTTTTTAAAAATCAGGTAAAAACTCATAATTTTTTTTTTTAAATTCAATAAAAAATCATGATTTTATACCAATTTTTTTTAAAAATCTAGTAAACACGTAGATTATTGAAAAATTCGAAAAAAAACACAAGATTTCCTAAACTTGGTAAAAACTCTGAAATTCTCCAAAAAAAAGTAGATTCAAATCCTACTTGGGGAGAATTTTGAATCCGATAAAAACCCAGAAATTTCCAAAAATTCAAAAAACTCACAATATTTTTTAAAAATCTAAAAAATCACAAATAGTATTACATTAAAAGCATTGCAATTGGAGGTGTCAGAGGTTTAAGTGGGGGTGGTAGGAAAAAATCTCGTGAGTTTGTAGTTCTAAATAGATTGGTAACCTTCCTTATGTAAATTGCAACAAATTCCTAGCAAGTTTTTCACAATAATAATGAAGAATATCTTTCAATAAATACTAAACAATAAATCAGTTACTGCTACGTCTCCACTTGTTTTCTATAATTTTTCCCACGCAAAGCTATTAAAGTCTAGAAGACAAAAGAACCTTTACACATCTGAAGCAACCCACAACCCAAAACAAATAGCAAGAAGCAGAAAAGTTACAAAACTTTTTTAAGACAACTACCAGGCTTGTTCAGCAAGCACATCCACCAGACTGAGGTTGAGAATCATGGCTGGCAGAAGACCTTAGGTTCACATCTACCATGTCTTCTTGTTTTGTGGTAGAGAGTGTTTCCATTCCAGGTAATGCAGCAGCAATTTTTCGAAAGAGGGCCTAAATTAAAAGGTTTTATAATTCAGTACAAATGAAATGTCTAAAACAATTAGATATACAATAATGCAGCTATCCCACATTTGAACCATTTGAAATATCTCACCCAAGCCAAGAAAATGCAATAGGCAACGTAGCTTTCGTCTTGATAATTTCAAGCTGATATTTGTTAAATATATGTGGCAAAAGAAAGGGAAGGTTTACCTTTATATTAAAGCCGGCTTTGGCACTAGCTTCTATAAACATAACGTTTAGCTCCCGAGACTTGGCTTCCCCTTCCTCTGTGGAGACTTGCCTGTAGAATCATGTGAAGAATATCAGGCAAGAAAAAGAGAAATATAGGTCTCCTTCTCATAGGATATAAGACTGGACTGCTAATTCTTTGCACTTGTCTTAGGAAAATAAAGCATTGTCTCTGGATAATATTCCTTTTTTAAACGCCTAAGCGGCCTTCAGCAAGGGGAAAATCACTTTTTAACAGTATTTCCAGGAAATGTTGCAACCACACATAAAGGGCGAAAACCCATATAAGAAAACATTTTTACTGTCCTTGCTCCCTTTTCCCCAGGCATATCTCTCTCACATACACAAATCTCATAATAAATATATTGCAGAAAAGAAGAGAGTGAAGAAAGGCCAAAAAAGTTCCAGGGCAATGCAGTCCTTCAGTAAAACCAGATTGCTCATTGTTTTCTCTAATACAGCATAAATAAAATGGGTTGTGCAGATGTCTAATGTACTGCTTGAGACGATTTTCAGTTTATTTTAGAAGTAACAGGTGAATTAAGCCAACCATTCTCAAGGAATTCTAGAGACAATTCAAGGTTTGAAATAGTGGCATGGTAATTATCACCTATTTAATTCAGAATTTCAGATCTTAATCAATGTGTTAGAATTTCCGCCTTAATTGCGGCACTTTGGCTTGCCTTAATTGCAGCCCCAACACCTTTATTGTGTTGGATTTGAAGGGGCAAATTTAGTCCCACATTGCTTAGAGATATGACATGTGTTGTGTTTATAAGTGGGGACAATCCTCACTCTACAAGCCAGTTTTGTAGAGATGAGTTAGGCTCAACCCAAATTCTGAGAACTCGGTTCATCATTAAACACTAACTATCCTGTCCTCCTTTGTATGCTTGATGGTTTTTTCAATTATCTATAATCTTCTGCACACAGTATTGTTCTCTCAGATCCCAATATCTTCCCTTCCCTGTCTAGCCTTTGAAGAATGAAATGATAATTTGTGTAGTACTATTAATACTGTAATTGTAACTAACCATCACAATTTGTTCTTATCTAACCGATAAACTTTCTCGAAGTGTTAATTAGACAATAATTACTAATTAGCAAAAAAATGCAAAAGGAGGGCACCAGATAATAGAGAACAAAACAGCTATGCCATGAAACAGACCAGTATAAGCTATCAGTTTGAGTAAGTCCACAATTGATTACTCATTACCTCTTATCCACAAGGTCAGTTTTGTTCCCAACAAGAACAACAATAACATCGCTTCCTCTCTCACTACGCACCTCTTCAATCCACTTTGATGTGTTTAGGAAAGTCTGACGACCTACATCATAAGAATACCAAATGATTATATAGCAGTCAAAGCACCCATCAAAGTGTTCTGGAAAAGTGAACAAAAATTATGTGCAAATATTCATCATCCAGAGAAAATTAAAATGTTGGCTATGGAGAAAGCAACATCCTGAGAATTTCTTATTTTTGATTTGTCATTATCACCTAAATAGTAGAGGTGCCTCCAACACACTTAGAAAGGCTACACGTTTTTTTTCATATTCGTTCACTCTTTTCCATCAAAAGTAAAATAAATTGAAAATTGTTATTTATTTGATATGCCACATACATATTTCTCACACGAATAACTCTTCCTTAGTAAGCTTTTGAAGAAACAAATAATGAAATTGAAACTCAAAACTTTTCCAATTCAATATTTTAATACATCAGCATTCAGAAAAATAAAAAACTCAAAATGACTGTTGAAATACTATTATAATAATAGTATTTCTGCATGAAAATATAAATTGTCAATAAGGGAATACATGGAAAAAAATCATATTTAAATGTCATACTTGCAACATCATAAACGATCACAGCAACAGATGAGTCCCTAATGTAGCTTGGAATAAGACTTCTAAATCTCTCCTGCCCAGCTGTATCCCTATCACAAACATGGAACACAAATGTAAGATTTTGAGATGAAAGACTAAAATTCAATAATATAGCATTATGTAATGCTTATGTATGGAAAGAAAAAAATTGTCGATCAAACTTCATGGATCTCACTCTAGTTTGTCAACACATTCATCAATTTTTTAACATTTGAAGTAAGATATAAACTCAAACATACAAAGTTGGAATAAAAAGTGTTGCAGATTCTAAGATGACTTGTACATCACATTTATAATTAAATCAATCAAATCTAAAATCCATTTTGATGTTATAAAGTAAAATAAAAAATTAACACATAAAGATGGAATACTTGAAAGCAACAGCAAATGGTTAGTGCAGTGAGATTCAAAGCTATAAGTGAGATAATGGCAAAAGACTTTAGAACTAAATGTATAAACTTTCCAAAAAATAATCGATGAAAAACTTTGCTGTTAGCATTCACAAAATATCACATCTTCACAAATTCATTACTTCATATACAGAATAGATCATTGAAAAAGAAAATAAACACGAGTTGCAGAAGAAATGTGATAAGCATTAAATTATGATGCCTGTACAGTTTAATAATTTGCATATTTAAAGAGTGGATGAGAATAAAAGAAAAGGGAAGGATTGTTCATCCCTCACTTACATGAAACCTATCTATTTACAAGATTCCCAAATTTAGTATTTCTTCAATTTGCTCAAGAAAAGCAAAATTAGTGAAACCAATCAAAAGCTCGAGATAACACACTAAAATAACTTCAGTAAGGGTTTTGTTGTCTTTTTCGATTGTTTTGATAATTTATATTAATTTTAGTATGAGTTATGTGATTATGTCTAATAGAGATCCGCTCATGCTAGAATTGTTTAAAATATAGCATTAGCACTCCCATTCACCTCTTCATTTTTAGACCAAACAATGCGACCATTTCTCCCCTTTCCATCTTCTTTTTAATGTCATTCCCCACTCTTCCTAAAAGAATTTTCAAAATGGTCAAGCCATGTCTTACCATAACTGCAGCCGAACAGTTCGATCTTCGAGATACATAGTTTTTGATAGAAAATCAATGCCGATTGTAGCCTGTCAGGCAAAAGGAAAAATAAGTTGAGTACACAAGCCAGTATATATGTTAAAGAAATGGAAATGCAGATAGTGCAAAATTTTCATAAGAGCCTGGTATCATGATAAACTAATATGAATGTATAAACATTAGAAGGAAGGCAAACAATGTACATATTTTAACACATTACATTACAAGGAAAACAATAAATATAAATTAGGTAACTCTATGGTTAGAGTTATAAGAGGAAAAAGGAAATAAAGACACATGAAAACATAGTTCAAAGTCCAAAAATTAGCTCGTATGAGTACACCAGTGAGTTTTATCGGACTGCGGTAAGACCTGCGATTATGTACGGGAACATAATGTTGAACGGTTAAGAATAAACACGAGAATAAAGTAATTGTAGCAGAAATGAGAATGTTGCAGTGGATGTGTGGTAAGACTTGACAGAATAAAATTAGAAATGAAAATATTAGAGAGTGTCGGGATAGCTACTATAGTAGAGAAGATAGTGGAAAATAGGCTTAGGTGGTTTGCGCATGTAGAGAGAAGACCTGTAGATTTCGTGGTAAGAAGAGTAGACTAGATGAAGAGAAGGCAAATAATTAGAGGAAGAGGAAGACCTAGAAAGACTATCAGAAAGGTTATTAAGAACGATCTTGAGATTAATGATTTGAATAGAAGTATATTCCTTGATAGAACACTATGGAGAAATTGATCCATGTAGTCAACCTCACTTAATGGGATAAGGCTTAGTTGTTGTTCTATGAGTACATTAGTGAGTAAAGGGAAAATTAAAATTTGAGGATAAATTTTCCAACTGGATCTGATAGAAACATGTATCTTTGAGAAAAATTAGGGATGAATTATCTTTATTACATTATAGATTGCAGAACTACAAGAGTTAGCACCTCCCAATGCTCAAAGACCCTAACTCTGTCAAATGTCAATATACCTCATCCTCCTTCTAACTTACAGACAAGCAGGCAACATGTCTTATTTCTCTAGTCATACTTCTAGTGCCCAGGAAGTCAGTTAATGAGGAAACATATTCTTACAACTTTAGTTTACAAATAAAAACAAAGCTAGAACTCATAATCCCAAAATAAAATCGCAGATCTCTACCTAACCAGCTCACCAAAAAACAAAAGGTATTGTATTGGCAGCTGAACTTGATTAGAGTTGATTAAAACAGTATTGCATTTGCAGTCACAGGAGTAGACATATGGATGATGCAAAGCGCAATACCACATAACTGAAAGAGATTATAATTCTCTTCTGTCAAAAGAGAAACTCGACCCTTCTCTTCAAACCCTTTCTGGCACATAGACGCCGCTTCCATAACCAAACTCATCCAAGTCTTACTTACTTCATAATTCCCCGACAAGAAAACATCCACAGAACTCACAATCGTCCATACTGCATCACTGTATAGCCCTAAACAATCCGTTAAACAACCCATCACATAACTATCCAAACTCTCATCACCTAACAGCTTCTCTATCTTCACAAGCGTGCTAGTCACATTCTCTAAAGCTAACT